AGGGCGAGCATGTTTGGTGTGCCGGGGATTCGAACCCACGACTCTCAGATTGCGAGTCGAATACCTTAACCACCTGGCCACACATGTTGAGTATAAAAATACTATTTATCTTACAGTTTTCACATTTCATTTGCATAATTTCTAGAACCTGTTAAATGAATATCAAAACTACTTTAGAAGTAAATGTTTATATTCTATTTTCCATTTTCTCTGCTATATCACTAACTATCTATTATCATCAATATAGACTGCAATGAAATGTTTAAAATTAAGAAATGGAAATATATACATACCTTTTATTTTTTCTTGAATAACTTTAAAATATCTTCTTTGAGTCATGTGTGTAATTTAACGTTTTTACCTTTTTAGTTACAGTTTACCTTTAATATTTTATTTTCCTTTCCAATTCATTATCTTTTATTATTTATGTCAAAACATCAAATGGTTCCTGCAGGCCATATAACATTATGATTGGCATAGATGCTTTAGCCTTCTGGCAAAATGTTTGCACTCACCTATTTTCATAAGCCTTCAGCAGTGAAATGACTAGTAGAAAACTTAAATAATCATTAAACCTTTTGAATTATGTATGTTAAAACACAAATAATTTACTGAAATATAAAGGTAAGACCTAAATACAATTTAACTGTCTATCATACTATGTATAAGGTGAGAAAAAACAGACAATCCCTAGAGACACTGATCTCAACAATGGGCTTAGCAGCAGTTTGCTTATCATTTGAAAAATAATTTATAACCTACATTTTCTTCTAGCCTTGCAATACAAAATGATAAATTTGCTCTTTCTATTGGTTATAAGCATGCCACTAAAGTCTAGAAAAAATAGAATACTTTGGAATGTGGGCATGGCATCTACTAGGAATAAAAAAGTAATAAGCTCCTTCTTGGAATGCTATAGCTACTGTTAAATGAAATTAAAGTTTAAACTTTGACCTTGTATTTGTAGAAGCTCATTTAGACTGTCATAGAGATACTGAGACGAAACCAAACAGAAACATAAGCAACCAATTCTAAGATATTTCAACTACATGTGGCATCACGTGATAGAAAACTGAAGTTTTAACTGTTTGTTTCAGGGGTTTCTTTCAAAATAAATAATAACTTATATAAAACTTTGAATTATAATGTATTTGATAATGCTAATTTCATTAAAATACATTGACAGTAAATTGGTTTAATTAAGTTTTGAATGTAACTTGGTAACATCTTGTGACATGTGCAGAAAGGTATTTAAAAAGTGTAGTAGTTGTTAAAGGGTTAAAGAATATATATATATACACACACACACACACATATTTAGGCCTAATGAACCATATGAACTATGCAACATATCTTTGTATCAAAATTAATCTGAATGTTTTATATTTAAAAAAATAAAATAATTTATTACATCATACCTGCAGAGTATACCAGAAACCAAATGTCTGTTCACTACACAGTTCATCTACTGGATAGTGCCCAGGGGTTGCACTGGCTTGCTGTGAACAGAACAAGGCCCACATTTTAATACCTAATATACCTGTAATAGTTAATCTCAAGCAACAAATTAAAAAGGATTTTTCCCATTGTTAGACAGTGAGAAAATAGATGACAGTTAAAATAGATGTTTCAGAAATATTTAATAAAATTGTTAGTATGCTTTTAAAATTACCTTTTAATTAAATTTTGGACCACTCACATTTAAATTTAGGTCACTTTTAAAACCCTTGAAAAGATTTTTAAATAGTCTTACTTTGATCAGTTCAATCAATTTCATAATTGTATTTCTAAACTCTGGCTTCTCAATGAGTGTGTCCAATAAGAGTTTGGTGTGATGTTCTCCAAAAGATATGAAGAGCCCATAAATACTGCAGGAGACATCCTATTGTATTTAAAATAAACCATACAAACTGTTATTGACTAACAAAGAAATTAATATAATAAGACAAAACACAATAGGGAATCTGTTCAAAATGTCTGAGTAAGAAAAATATAGTTATGTATGAATACTTAGGGTCATTCCACATCAGTCCATGCACACAAAAAAAAAATTAGAATGGATTTAGATCCTCCAATTTAGTTAAGCTTCAAGAGCCTATTGAGAAACTAATCCATATATCAAATATTTTTAAGAGGTGCAGTGATACGAACATTTCCAAAGGTACTGATTTTTAGAACAGTAGCAATTACTCAAGCACCCATAAGCTTTGACCTAAATAACTTAGAATGGCTAAATTTAGGTAAATGATGACCTATCATATGATATGCATTTCACTGAATATAAAGAACAAGAAGAAGAAAAATAAAAGATCAAGAGATCTGATTTTTTACTTTGAATTCAAGAAACATTTTTTTTTTTCAGAAGTCAAATATGATATCCTTACATTTGTCCTTATTGATGGATCAAATTTAAATCTGGAACAGCAACTTGAATTAGGAAAGGGAAAAATAAAATGTTAGTAAGTAACCAAAAATTGCATTTGCCTAAAACAGAAAAAGAGACTGTCATAGTCTACTGGCAACAAATTGTCAAAAAGTTACATAAATCAAACTAAAGCAGACAATAAATAAACAATTTGAGGCTTTGTCACAACTCAGGTATCTTTATTCATAAAAGTAAATATGCAACTATTACCAATGCTGGCATACACTTTCGTCAGAGTATCTGAAACAGGAATATCCAGAATTTCTTGTTTTGTCAGATGTGTGAAAGTTTGAAATGGCCCTTGTGGATGGATGAAGTTCAGTTTCACCAATGCTGGCATACACTTTCGTCAGAATATCTGAAACAGGAATATCCAGAATTTCTTGTTTTGTCAGATGTGTGAAAGTTTGAAATGGCCCTCGTGGATGGATGAAGTTCAGTTTCACTTCTTCATTCTTCTCATTCACTTTGAAGACACATCATACCCATGACTATTCATCAAAAATGCACAAAAATCCAAATTCAAGCTTATCTTCCAAGGCAATGACTATCTCTTCTTTTGAACCAGATGAAAAGGAATACAACTTGGCAGAAATTTTGTTTCTTGTCACAGGAAAAAACAAATAGTTGTTGAGCTCCAACAACTGCAAGTTAGTGCACAAATTATTTTTCCAGGATCTTTAGTTTCTAATAATCACTTGACATGCAGTACTTGAAGACTACTACGATGTTCTCAGCTGCTCAATCAAACAGCTGGGGAGGTATTTTTTATTTGTTTAACCACTGAATACTGACTTTTCCAGCTAACCTCTTCACTGAACCGTCAATGTCATTATATGTTTGTGTCTCTTTCCTTGGGATCTTTTGGTCTTAATTGAAGATAGTGATAATGGAGGTGATAATGACCAAGAAAGTGATCATATTATGAAAGAATGCAAAAAATGTATATGATATCAGAGATGTTTGCTGAATAGATGCTTCTTTGATGAGAAATTCACCAAGTCGAAAATCATGTGACAGTGAATCCTTTAATTCTATTGATAAAGCAATTTGTATAATTACCTTAAGTACTTTAGTACTAAAGAAAATATGCTTTATTATCATATCCAATAAGGCAGACCAATTATTGCTTAATATAGAAAAAATTGTAAAAGACAGTAGAGAAATCAAATCAATCATATGCAGTAACCAGTTAAAGAAAAATATAAAAATGCAATCAAACCTGTTACATTCTACCTAGAGAAGGGTGTTATCAGCTCCATTGTGAGATTAACTACAAAATAAAGTTTTCCATTTGTGTAAAATCAATATCAAAACTCAATAGACTACCTGATGTTTTAGCTTGATACAGTACCTTAAAAGCACTCTAAAATAGGCTGCTTACAATTGCAGTTATCTAAAATTTTTAATATATAGCTAATATTTTTTTTTGTCTGAGTTGCCCCTTTGGATTACTGACTTGTAGTTTCTTCCTAATGACAGAGATACTCTCTAATGAAAAACTGAATTATGGATTCTAGTACCTTTATCTATTTTACAAAATGCTTCATCTTCAACCACATTGAGCGTTTGGACCAGATTCTCCTTGACTTGGCTCAGAGAGGGTGTACTTCACTCAGTTCTTGGTACCAGTCTTTGTAAACTTTCTTCCTACAAACTCACAGATTTTGGCTCCAAGTGTAAGAAAATGAAGTGTTTTTACAAATCTTTTCCAAAATTAGTTAGAGATTATTCTTCTTAAATTAATTTTTGGGTTTAGTGATTGGGTTATACAACAGGCAATTATCCACTGTAGTTGATTTATTTCCATGCTATCCTCTTTATGAAGATTGGAAGCTAGCAGTACATCAAAACACAAGCTGACATACAACCGCTAAGAAAATTAAACACAGACTGGGATAAACATGTCAAGGGGTCCCTATATATATACCTAGATATTATAATTAGAGGCCACTAGTAAAACTCTAGTAAACTGAGATACCTCTATAACTTTTGAGAATACTCTTGACAGTTCTGGCTACTTCCAGAAATTTATGCAAACTGGATACATTAAGGATTTGTAGTCACTTGATGCCACATAACTGATCATATTCCTGTTCTCACTGAAACCTCAAATTCATATTTGGTGAAAAACTAAGGATATTTTGTTTACAAAACTCAAGGTCAAAAATTACACTTCCTTACTTTTATTTTGATTTAAACTCAATGATCTACATAAAAGGTAAAAAGGCATCAAGAGAGCTTCAAAATGTTGCCACTTTCAGCTCTCTAAGTTAATCAAAACAAAATCTTGTAAACACCTTAGTAGTGGCCATCAGACAAGAAACTGGTACTTTTATTGACAATGTTCAAATTGCTGCACCTTGAAAAGTACTTGATATAGGGAGCTGAAATTTGATGTGTATTAGTTCCTCAACACTCTACAAGCTCAAAAGATTAATCAAAATCAGATGAAGTCAAGTAAATAGTTAAGTTGCTTTTAAATGTAATGACCCTTTAATATTCAAAAGATTCAGCCAAAGTTAGAGAAACATTTTCAGATATTACAACAAAGTGATCATCTTCTATTACACACCAAAATAACCTAACTTATGGACCCATAACTTATATATTTCTGAGAAATAAAAAAAAAAGCTTTAAATCTATTTTTAAATAGCAGGTATCAAATTATTTGCTAACATTTTACTCTTCTTTGTTGATATCCTAAGAACCAGTTTTTATGACATCTAAAATTCTTACCATAAACTCAAACTTATATCTGTAGTTATCATTGTTTCTGACCTATAAGATAAGATTATATCAGCCCAATAATTTGTTAATCGTTACTGAGGTCCATCTTGAACCATAATCCTACATTATTTCCATATATTTAACATCTATCATATTGAACTGTAACTCTATTTTCCTATACATAAGTAATTAGTTCTTAAAGAATTCACCATGTCTTTTTCCTCCAGGGATTTATTCAGTAGGTCTTCAAGCTGAATTACAGAGTTCAGAAGTTTTAGAATTAGATTAGGATACCTGCAAAGAAAATTTGCATTCTAAATCTGGTGTTGATCAGGAATCTCAATTTTAAATCTGATGTTGATCATGATATATATAAATAAACAAAAACTTCTGTAACAGTAGTTTAAAATCTAAAGAAAAGTATAAAAACTTCATCTACCTATAAGCTTCTGGATGGGTTACCACATTACTTAATGCTTCCAATGCTGTTTGACAGAGTTCTTCATTATAAACAGCACTCAGAGATAGCCTGAATAAAGATTCATACTCTAATAGTAGTGGGCCAAGCTGTGACCAGCTAGAGTAGCATTTCAGTCCCATCTGGTGGAGATCTACAAATGAAGATGTCAATGGCTGAGACAAAACTTCAAGTAACAACTCTGACACTTGATGCAAGGATGATTGTAGAGCATTCCGAATAATTCCCTTCTGTGAATGAGCCAAGTGTGCAGTCTGAAACTGATTTAAAACAAAAAAATTACAGTTAACAAAATCCAGCTAAGATATTTACTTTACTTAAGTTTAATCAATATGTAAAATATAAAAAAGGATTAGGCACTTTTAGCATATCTCACAAAAATATCTTGACAAAATCCTTCCTGTATATTCAGGATGTAGAAGGACTTAGAATCGTATGAGAGGCAATTCTTGTAATTTTCTATGTTAAGTTTTTCAGGAGTAATACCAAATTTATTCCACTTTTTTCCTACAACTGTTTGTTAGAATACTTAAAACATTCCAAAGTAAAAATCTAAGTACTGCTAAATATAACAGACTAGCGTATACCCCATCAAACATTATGGAGCAAGTACTACCACCCCCTCCATGGTATACTCTAACCTCACATTTCATAGCTAACTGAAATAAATAAATTTTGTGAAATAAAGCTTGACCACAAAAAGGCAGAAAAGTGCAGTCGAGGCAGTCAGATGTCAGTAAACTCCTTTGTGAGCCAATCAAAATTAAGATCATTCATGAAATGAATTTGTGGCATATTCATAGAATAATTATTGACAAAAATCAGTTAGATTAACAACTTCTAGTATATAGAAAAGCCAGTGCGTTTTGGCAATACTACGTTCCAACAATTGCTTTTATGTCATGTTGCTTAGCAACAAATGTATAACCTAATACTGTTGTTAGTCTATGTACCGAAAGTATAAAATGAAATGTATAGACAACAAAACTGGAAAAATATTTATTGATTTCTTAATTTAGAGTCTCAGTTGATTAAAGAGGATTTTTTTTATTAAAACGTTGTTGATATAACAGAAAATAGCTTAATTCAGAAACGATTTAAGTTTAAAATTTAATCGATATTTTTACTTTCATGATAAAGTTTATGCACTTGGCTCTAGGCTAGGTGATCCCACACTACGTCTTTACTTTAGGCTTGTTATACCAACACTCATTACACTTATAAGGTTTCATGGCACACCCATGAAAAATAACTGGGAAATGTTTAAAACTCTAAACCCTGATCAGATTAATTATATAAATTTGAAAAACTAACAATAAAGAAATGGTTGGATCGTTAATGGTAATTATTCAAAAGTGATTTGATATTGAACAAGGAAATTATTGTTGATTAAAAGATTACCAATTTGGTCTCAATTCTAAAAAAGACAAGGGCTGTGATAGCACCTGAACAATTATAGACCTAATAGTTTGACTTCCCTTATCAAGAAGATAATGAAATTTATGGTCGGATATAATTCAAAAAAGCATCTAGAAAACTGCCATTACATAAGTAGTCCAAAACGTTTTTTTCTTGGAATTTATTGGAGTTTTTCTTTTATAAAGCATTTGTTTTATCTCAATGAAAGCACTTTAGATGGTGTTGTACACCTTATCTGTCATAAACACTTAATAATAATCGTAAGGATGAAAACGGCCAAAATCTGAAAGGTCTGAAAATCTTAAGTCCAGAGCAACAACCATAAGTGGTAGGATTTCCAACACACAACAGGGTATTTGAACTATTTTTAACTACACATAACAAAGTTAACAATTAACTGCTATATTACTTTCTCTTCTTTATAGCTAAAACATAAAAATGCAACAAATCAGTACCTGATGAAAATATCATACTGTTGTAACAAATTCTATCACTGGGCAGGTTCTTTTAGATTAAAATTGCCAAATTCGGTTAAGGTAATGATAAGGAATTAGTTTACTTACTCTTTAACATTTCTACAGGCTAAATTCACTTTGACACAAGTTATAGGCCTAAGTTCACAAACAACGTTTCAAGTACAAACCCTTGCTAAAGGTACTATGTCTACTTACAGTTACAGAATTTCTTTCCTACACAAGCAATTAATTTAATAGATGCAACAACTCTTACTACAAACAATGATCTGAAAAAATCACTGAATACTTCACAGAATTCACAATAACTTTACTGAATGACTACTCATATTAACAACTAATAACCCTCATATCTAGATATTACACAAAGCATTCTCGATTATTACGATTAGCAGCTCTCGCTAACAAACAATTAAATTATAATATTGAAAATATAAATAGCTTTCAATAATATTATTTTTGCAATTTAAATTCAGGTATTAGTAGTACATTAATCACTGTTTTAATCCAAACAGATTATATTGATATGAACATTTTTAGAATACAATCAAGACATAGATAAATCCTATGTGTGTATATATATTTATATATATATTGGGTTTCACTTACTATGAAATGGTCTAAAGTCACAAAGCAATAAAACTAAAAGAAAGCAGGTGTGAAAAGGTTAGAAGCCCAGGCTGTTAAGATAAATAATTGTAATTGTCTGTTATAATCTTCAGTCATTCTAAAAGAAAAAGAAATTTTTTTTCAATTTTTTCAACTAGCATGTAAATCACCTTTCACTTAGACTGACTCAGTAAAGGTTTTGTAAGTTCATAGACAATTCTTTTGGTAGAATTATATATATGAAATACTAAACTTAGTCTAATTATTATGCTTTGGATAGTTGTATTGGTGGGTTAAGTGGTTGCTTTGTTGATCTGAAAAGCTTCTATTCTTATGTTCCCATAAACATTTAGCATCAATAAATTTCTGGCTATGTTCTTCACCTTCTCAGGTACATCCAGACTATGTCATAGTTATTATTAATACAGTTTAGGTTACACATCTTACACTTTCAAGTAACTTTACTTGATAGTTACTATCAATAAATGTTTGGTTAAGTTACTCACTTCTTCTGGTAGCACTGTTAGAAGTTCAAGAAGAATAAGCATTACTTGTTGAGGCTGAAAAAGAACAAAGGCATTAGTTGCTAGTAACTAGATAGATCTAGAGACAAAATATTTATCACTGGTTAATGTACAAATAGTGGGCTTATTTTTAAAATGGGGGGAACAAACATCAGGTTTAAAGCTTGCACAATAGTAAGACTGTTGTAGTTTAAAATATTCAAAAATGGTGAAATATCACTGTAATATAATGGTATTTTTTCCTCATAATGATAAAGAAGGTGGCAATCTATAAAATATAAAATCACTTTTTGTTCCTCAAATATAATAATACTGAAGTCATAATGTACATATAAATTTGAATGTATGGCTAGTAATCTTTTGTACCAGTGATATATAAACTATGGAATACATCTTAAGAAACAAAATATAAAATACACTCTTTGTGATTGTTTTTAATGATGTACAGAGTACTTGACAAAAAAAGCAAGAAGTTATAATAAAAACACCACAGAAAGATAAAAGAAAGATTGTTTAACAAAGACTGTAGCATAGATAAATAAAAAATACTAGAATATGTAGGTATTGCAGTACAGAAAGCCATTTAAACATTATGGAAGCTCATTTAAGTTAGCTACTGCTTTTCTCCTGTGAATGTTGAGGTAGTTCAAGAACTATGATCACACTTTAGATGGGCATTTACTTGTCCCATATACAATATCAAATATCACTGATCAAGTTTATAGTAAGTCCCCAAAACTTGATCAGTGACTTGTATGGGTATGTGACTGCTTTTTCCAGAGAGAAATATTTTAACAGCAGGATTATCAAATAGTGTAGAGTCAAAGGGCACAACATTTTGAAAAAGTGAGTCTTCAATTTTTGTTGTACAATTCACACATAAGAATGTTTAAGACAACAAAAAAACTCTAAACCACACTACCAGCTTCCTATCCATGAAATTAAAGCTATAGTTACAAAATGAATCTACATATTTCTCTTGGTACATTATAATATGATAATAATAATAATAAGATGACTTGAAACTGACAAAGTTTTATGACCCAAAGATTTACAAGCTTATAAACACATCATCAAATTAATGAATGTTTTAATGATAAAGATGGTCAAAGAAACTAGAATCACAGCAATTTCATTCAAGCATATATTGTAAAGCCCCCAATGCAACTCTAATATACTTTTGTCCTTGTGATACACTTCAAACTTAACCAACATTTCCAATATGCATACATGACCTTCCACCTACACTTCCCAATACTTTTGATTTAAAATAATTACCTTTACCATTACATAAAACTATATACATGTTAAATTCTGTTGACTTAGAATACTGTTTTTAGTACAACTTTCCTGAAATTTCCCTATGGATGGTTGACTAATAATACAATAAAGAAGCAAAAACACAAAGTATGAGTGATGGTATTAAATAAAAAAAACAAAAACAAATTCATTTTATGCAATGCTAATTTAGTTTAATTCATTGGAAATTATTAAAAACTATTATTGGGATTAAACACCTGGAAGCATCAGATTTCACGATTTTAAAAATATTATACTAAAAATAGAAATTAATTCAACAATTAAGTATTCCTGTAAATCTACAATTTCTCGTTTTGTTAAGAAAATGTTTCAGGATATATAAACATATTTCTGTACAATAAATAGTTTGGCTAATTAGTAAAACAATTATATTTCAGTGCTTTTAGTAACTAGATAATATATATAAAGGAATCTGTTAAAACTGGCTCAGTATTAAAGACCAAACTCAATCTTTTATGTGATGGTTTAAAATATACAGTAAAATATCAATTCTACCAAAAAAAAATAAAACAGAGCATGATCACATATTTCGATAATCATTTAATTTTTGAAATTTATATTATTTGCCACTTACATTTCAATATATAATGAACATAGACAAATCTTTGCTGATAGCATATAAATACATTAGCCTGGTCTATGAAAGAACAAAAATGAAATTTGTTAGATGAAGCACCAGAGTGCTGTATGGCCATTCTTAGTTGATGACAAAAAAAAATTTACCTAAGCATTCTTCCAATTTAAAAAGTTATTAAAAAATAAAAAATATATGTCAATAAATACTGTGAGAAAGTTATGGTTCTAAGTAAGGCAATATTTGATTTATACCCAAAAAATATTACACATAAATCAATCACCTCAGAACTGCCATAATGGATGAATTGTTCATTAATGCCATTAGACTAAACACTGAATACAGTGTCAGGTTTTGGTTCAAATTAAGTATTTAGTTATCTAAGCACAATTTATTACATAAGATAGCATTTGTGCTACTTTATTATCTGCTATCTGTTGGTACTTCTAACTACAAAAACATCAAAAGTCAGCATCATCTCCTGCAGAAACGAAGAACTGGGCAAGACAAACTCTACATTAACTAATGTTTAAAAGCAGAAAAACACTCCTATACTAGAGTACAGTGTGTCAAGTTAAAGTTGTATTTTGAATTTTCCTAAAAAGGACAAGAAATATGCTTCAATTCAAAGCTGATAATTGTAATAACTAGTTGCTTCTGTGTTTACAGTTTCTATTATGTAGATGAAACTTCAACTGCCAGTAAAAGTGATTAATTTAGACAACTATGTGAGGATGTTTGGCTATATGTATTAACATAACTATCATAAATACTTTTTCATAATGATAAATTATGTTTTCACATATAAGATCTGGTTCAAAAAACAAAAAGATATTTAAATCTTGAAAATATAAACTGTTACTATTGTTTTCTACCTTCTTATTTTAATACAGAATTTTTCAAAAATGTTCAATTATTCTAAATATGTGCAGTTTTTATATAACACATTATCAAGACAGTCATAAAGCAACTTTTGCTCTAGTTACCTATTATCATATGTTGTTTTCCCTGAGATAACACCTGGTCTGTCCACAGAAAACAACTGATGTGGAGTTGCACCTAGTATATCAAAGTAGACTTCAGCTTTCTCTAATGATAGGTCAGGTGATATCTCAAGGTTACAACCTCCCTTATTTACTAAAAGAATGATCAGTCTCTTAGGTAGTGCTAACTGTCCTGGGAAAGCAAGACACTATAGATTTTAACCATATAACATGATACTTTCTCAGACTGAATATAACAATTTTGTAGGAAGGATTCACAGAACTTTCAGAATTTCAACTTTTTAGTAAAGACAATCATCCTTCATGCTGAAATAATACACACACTGTGATTTTTGTTATGCGTGTATTTTTATTATAGCAAAGCCACATCAAGCTATCTGCAGTGTCCACTGAGGGGAATCGAATACCTGATTTTAGCATTGTAAATCTGAATACTTATTGCTGTCCCACTGGGGGATGGTTTGTGTTATTAAATAAAGATTATTTTCACTTTGTGTTTACACTTGTGTCCAGACTTTTTATTTGCATAAACTCAGTTTTAGAGAAATTCATAATTAATTCACAATATTTCCTGCTCAAATGTCCAGTTACATAGTGGACCTATCTTATTCACTATTGGGGGAAAAGTAAAATATATATATATATTATAGACACCATATTTTCTTTAACTTCCTTGTTTTATGCTAGCTTGATGAAAAAAGTATAAAGCATCATCATATCAGTGCATCTCAAAAATTCTTAATATAGCACAAGTCTTTATTATGGTAACTATGACAGGCATCCAAAACAATTTTTTTTATACTATTTGCAAAAGTTTGTATACAGGAATTTTTAGTTTCAAAAACTTTATGAAGCTCATGTGAAATGGTCATAATTATTATTATTTTTAAATATAATAGTTTTTCCAAGATTTAAAAAAATTACGACTGAAGCATTGTTCATAAACAATGTCCTCGCAGTAGGAACATAAACTTTTGATTTGTAATAAAGAAGTATTTATTTAAAATGTTATATAAGTGAACTTACAGGTAGGGATGGAAGATGAGATGGTTGCACTGTGGCTGCCACATCAGCAATGGCTGTCGGCCAATGATCAGAGACAGTGTGAATAATGTAAGCAGATAGCTGAAACAAAAAAACCTCAAACTACACATTTTAACTGATGTCACTAGTTTAGAATCTACACAAAAAATATTCCAATTTTGGCTAAATAAGAATAATGGAGTAATAAATAAAACAAAAAATACTTCCTACTTTTTTTTTAGAGGCTAATGTTTATAGGTAAACTAGATGACCAACTTGAGATTTACAGATCTTTTGAAGAAATTAAAGACCAAAAAGATAAAACCTTGCATTTCGAATCAGAGTTTTTCCCATTAGAAAAAAATCCTAAACAATTTCACTTCTAATGTTAGAAAGTTTTACTCTCAAAACAAATATCAGAATATATATATATATATATATATACACACAATAACTGGAAATAATGTAGTTCTACAACTAAGACTATATAGTTGTATGTATTTCCTTATGTTTGGTCAGATACTTGTAGTGTTGGAAAAAGGCCCAATTCTATAAAGTAATTTGAACAAATTGTAATGAACAGTAAATAAAATTAAGAAAACATTATACACAAAAGTGAGTTTGAGTAGACAAGTCTAATCTAATAAACTGTTTTTACTCTGGAGGAAAATGAAAGAAAATAAATACTGAGTACTTTAAACTGGAAGTATACAGAGGTCTAAAATATCAATTACAAAAAAAAATTCATGTGTTCTGAAGAGTTAACTGTGCTAATTAAAGAAAAATCTACATCTTCACTACAGTTGCTAAACATCATGATTTTTGTTGTGTTTTCTTCAGTTTGTGTTTGCAATAAAATGGTATTCAATTTGCTTTGTATACAAATTAAAAGTACAATTTATATTACCAAAAAAATTATAAGTAAAATAATAACAACTTACTGCAACACACAACTGAGTCAGAACAATCTTGGGACCTCCTGAATAAGAAAGAATGGCTTCAAGCAACTTGTTGCGAAGTGGTTCGTACTGATTTGTAGGTAGTTCATGAAAAAACTTTGAAATCTTCACATGTAAAGTACTTGCTCCAAAGAACTGAATCACATGGCTCTGAAAATTTTCAAAATTATAATACTGAAATATATATATATAAATTACTTTTAGTTTGTTAACATAACTGAGGTTGTCCCACCCTTTTGATTATCTGAAACAAAGAAATTTTCAAAACGTTTTACTAATCTTCTCTTGAATGTTGTTATAAATAATTTTGTTTCTCTAAAATATTACACTGAAGACACAGTTTGCTTTTTCTACCTAATACTTACACAATTATATTTTCTAAATCCAGTTAATCTGAAAAGTATGAAGTTAGTTGATTTGATCAACCTTGAAATTATACATATTATAACTAAATTTACTAAGTGCTTCACAAATTTTAGCAAGCTTTTAGTACACATTATACACAGCGTGGTCACAAGTAAATAGACACCACCTTTTCAGTAAAATTTTGCAGTCATATTCACACGAATTGATATATTTATAATCTAATTAATATCTAGTAGATCTTCCTTTCACTTCTTGGAGTTCGTTGATCGTTTGGGGCATCGTGAGAATCATCTCGTCAATTTTAGATTCTGGGATTTTCGCCCACTCTTTCTTCAAAACTTGGAGTAGATCGCTCTTCGAAGTTGGTTTTTTTGGTTGTTTCTTGATTTGCCAGTCGAGTATGGCCCAGAGGTTTTCGATGGGGTTCATGTCAGGAGAC